TAGGTGAGTCTCTTGCCTCAGCCTCCCGAGTCGCTGGGACTACAGGCGCCCGCCACAATGCCTGGCTATTTTTTTGTTGCAGTTTGGCCGGGGCCGGGTTTGAACCCACCACCCTCGGTATATGGAGCCGGCGCTCTACTCACTGAGCCATAGGTGCCGCCCTCCCGCCTTATTTATTAGAGTTTCACACTACCAGGGCCGCACTCCCCAAACCCTTGTGGTGACTAATTTTGTGTTCTCGGTCTATCTTCCCGACTAGCCCAGATCTGAGTTCTCAGAGGTCAGAAAGACCAGTCCTCACTAATCCGGCTCACCTGGAGTTTGGGCGCGTAGCAAAGCATAAATGAATCCAATTTGCCAGGGAGAAGAGAGGGTAATGTCAAAAGAACTAGACTGGAAGGAGGAAAACCCCACTGGGACGCTCAGCCGGGAAGAGCCAACCTGGGCATCCCTCTAGAGGCACGAAGCCACGCCCCCTTCGCAAACACCTCCTCGGATTTACTCCTCCCCTCTTGGCCCGCCTGTCCTCCCAGGCTGCCTAAGGCCCCGCCCAGTGGGCGTGACCCCACACCCGGAGGGCCACCATCCCGCCAACAATGACCCCGCCTCTCTTTCTACTGAGCAACCTGTCCCTTTTATTTAAAGATACGTCTACGTCAACCCGCCTTACGTAGCTTTGCGTCATCAGTGCAAGGCACGAAGGCGGGACTTCCTGTCCTTCGTTCTAACAGTTTCCGGGAGAAGCCGGAAGAGACTGGACCCTGGAGAGAATCGGGGATTTTCAGCCCCTCCCCTGGCCCCTACGGAAAGACGAGGCCAGGGACCCTCCTGGCGAAGTCAAAACGCTTAGTCTGGCCTTTTCAGGTGAGGACCTCATTCCCTATCCAGGCACAGTACCAGTACTAGCTCCCTTTAATTTCCCATGACTCCCCGCGTCCTCAAGCCCCGCCCACAGTTCCTCCGCCCCGCCCCGAAGTTTGAGGGGTGTGGATGGTTTGTGACCCCCTTTACCTGATCCTACCCCTCACCGGCTGGGAGAGCTGAGCTTAGGTACGGCGGCCGGGAGCTGGCAGCCCTTCGACTCGGGTGGACTCATGGACCCCACTCCAACGCCACGGAAGTAGGACCGTCCAAAAGCGGAACCTTCACCTAAGAAAAAGCAGAGTCGGGGACCCCTCCACAACGTGGTCAGGGTAGTTCACAGGCTAAGAAGAGAGCAGAGGCCCTTGAGGTGGATGTTCTGGGGTCCTGCCCTGCGCCTCACCACAGGTGTTCCCTGTGTGTCTGCCAGTCGTTTTGGTCTTTCTTTGCCACGGTTTCTTTTTCTGTAAATCATGGGTGATGACATTAACCATCATACCATCAGTGGTTAGTTGTGGGAGTGATAAATAATTGCTACCATTGGTTTATTGAACATTCGTAATGTGCCAGGCACTGTGCTAAGTATTTTGCTTCGATGATTTCACGTCATCTTCAAAATAATCTTATGAGGTAGGTATGAATTTTAATCCCATTTTACTGGGAGAAAGCTGAAGCTGTGAAATGTTGTTTGAGGTTACATATCTAGTAAGAGGTAATACTGAGATTATAATTAGTTTTTTCTGACTCCAGAGTCAGTTTATTAAATAAGGCTGTGAAAACTATTTAGATGTTGATAATGTTCCACAAATATTTTTGAGTAAGTACATGGCGTTATGCTGGTCACTGTGGTGCAAAAAGAAATACATGTAATCCTTGTCTGCCAGGAATGTAATAGAGAGAGAGACAGGCTGATAAGTATAATGAAGTTTTATGGGTTCTGTGAGAATAGTGTGATGATAATAATCACCAGACAGGATTTGTCCAGGGACAGGTGTGAAAGCAGCAGATTCTCTAAGGCAAAGAGTAGGTACTCCAAGGAACAAACAGATCTTACCTGCTTTTCTGAGAAACTGCATAGGGAGAACCTTCACAGTAAAGAAGATAAACTCAGATAAGGATTATGAGAGATGGTGTGGAATCTTTTCTAAATCACTTTCACTTGGGGAGTGATTTTTGTAGTCATAAGCCCATGGTGACCTGGGAAAGTGCTGTTTCTGGTGTCTGTCCCACATAGTTCTCTCTACACCGAGGGCTTGCCAGAGGGTTTCAGAAGAGACAGATGTAGTGTCTGCTGCATAGTGTCTACTGATGGCCTCTACCGAGTTGTCTCTTGAGGTGATTTAACTTCACTTTTTTTTTTTTTTTTGAGACAGAGACTCAAGCTGTTGCCCTGGATAGAGTGCTGTGGTGTTATAGCTCACAGTAACCTTAAACTTGGGCTCAAGCAATCCTCTTGTCTCAGTTTTTCTTTTTAGTAGAGATGGGGTCTCCCTCTTGCTCAGGCTGGTCTTGAACTTGTGAGCTCAAGCAATCCACTTGCCTTAGCCTCCAAGAATGCTAGGATTACAGGCATGAGCCACCTCGCCCAGCCCTAACTTTACTTTTGATGATAGGTTAATTTTTTTTGACTTGACATCTGGGCTTGGATCTGTGATGAAAAATGAAATAAGCTGATTATGAAACAATCTGTCAAGGGTGGCTGCACAGTACCTCCATAAGGGCCCTACCTAAAATAAAATATTGCAGGCTTTTGGTCTCTCTGAAGCTACTTTGGAGATTGCTAAGGGGGCATGTTTGCTTTACCAAGTGATAGAAATCCTAGAGAAACTCAGGGCTTGGATGGCTGTGGCTCGTGCCTGTAATCCTAGCACTCTGGAAGGCCAAGGCAGGTGGATTTTTTGAGCTCAGGAGTTCGAGGCCAGCATGAACAAGAGGGAGACCCTATCTCTACTAAAAATAGAAAAACTAGCTGGTTGTTGTGGTGGGCCCTTGTAGTTTCAGCTATTCAGGAGACTGAGGCAAGAGGATTGCTGGAGCCCAAGAGTTTGAGATTCCTGTGAGCTATGATGCCAGGGGACTCTACACACAGTGACAGAAACAAGACTCTGTTTAAGAAGAAAGAAAAACTGGCTCGGCGCCTGTGGCTCAAGTGGCTAAGGCACCAGCCACATATACCTAAGGTGGCGAGTTCAGATCCAGCTGGGGCCCTCCAAAACAACAATGACGGCTGCAACCAAAAAAAAAAAAAAAAAAATGCTGTGATGCCACGGCACTCTACCCAGGGGGACAGCTTGAGGCTGTCTCAAAAAAAAAAAAAAAAAAAACCCTAAAGGCTCAAAGAAGCAAAGGTTTTTGGCATCTACTAAAAAAGCAGTGATAACTAGCAATAGAGCTAGGCTGTGAGGTTCTCCTAGTGATCCTTGATTGTTGAGGGGTTGGAGTGTAAGAGAGGAAAAGGTGTGGAATTTGATAGCTAGAGTTGCACAGTAGAGGCAAAGGATAAGTCCTTAGCTTTAGGTTGGGGGTCTAGAGTTAGGACTGTAGTCCTCCCTTCTACAGGAAACTAATTCCATTTTCTTTGAGGGCTAGTAAGAGTCTGAACAGACTAGAATCCTGGTTGTAGCCCTCAGGCTCTGCTGACACTGTCCCCTTTGTTCCTGCAGCTTGGACGCAGTCAGCAGCCAGGCCATGGAGCTCTCTGATGTCACCCTCATTGAGGGTGTGGGTAATGAGGTGATGGTGGTGGCAGGTGTGGTGGTGCTGATTCTAGCCTTGGTCCTAGCTTGGCTCTCTACCTACGTGGCTGACAGCGGTAGCAACGAGCTCTTGGGCACTATTGTGTCCACAGGTGACTCATCCGTCCTCCACCTGGGGCACGTGGACCATCTGGTGGTGGGCCAGGGCACCCCAGAGCCAACTGAACTCCCCCATCCATCAGAAAGTAATGATGAGAAGGCTGAAGAGGCTGGAGAAGGTGGAGGAGACTCCACAGGGGAACCTGGAGCTGGGGGTGATGTTGAGCCCAGCCTTGAGCATTTCCTTGACATCCAAGGCCTGCCCAAAAGACAAGCAGGTACAGAAATTGACAGTCCAGAGGCCCCCGTGAGATCTGAAGATAGCACCTGCCTCCCTCCCAGCCCTGATCTCATCAATGTGCGCCTCAAATTCCTCAATGACACTGAGGAGCTGGCTGTGGCAAGGCCAGAGGATACTGTGGGTACCCTGAAGAGGTAAGTGGGCTGGCGAGTGGGAGGCTGCTTGTGGTCCATGTCCCCAGCCCTCAGTTGACTCTAAAGTAGGAGTAGCAGGAATGTATAAGGTCCACTCCCTACCAAGGGTGGGTGGGATCCTTTAATATAAGTCTACTCTTCAGTTTTTCCCTGCTGCTCTGCTTTGTTGATCCAGGCCTGTTTACCTTCTCGTTTTTCACCCTCTTTGTTCCTTCCATCTTTTTCATCTTTACAGCAAATATTTCCCTGGACAAGAGAGCCAGATGAAACTGATCTACCAGGGCCGCCTGCTGCAGGACCCAGCACGCACACTGCGTTCTCTGAACATTACTGACAACTGTGTGATTCATTGCCACCGCTCACCCTCAGGGTCAGCTGTTCCGGGGCCTTCAGCCTCCCTGGCCCCTTCAGCCACTGAGCCCCCAAGTCTCGGTGTCAATGTGGGCAGCCTTATGGTGCCTGTGTTTGTGGTGCTGTTGGGTGTGGTCTGGTACTTCCGAATCAATTACCGCCAGTTCTTCACAGCACCTGCTACTGTCTCCCTAGTGGGGGTCACTGTCTTCTTTAGCTTCCTAGTATTTGGGATGTATGGACGATAAGGACATAGGGAGAAAATGAAAGGCATGGTCTTCCTCCTTTATGGCCTCTCCCCCTTTCCTGGCCAGAGCTGGGCCCAAGGGCCTAGGAGGGAGGGTGGAAAGGACATGGTGGGTATCCCTCTACAGGACACAGGAGGCAGGCATTGTTCCTCCCATTCTCATCCGTGGGGGTACAGACATCCCCTCTGTGCAAGCACAACTCAGGTAGAAATGAAGATGTCTTCTTCCTTCACTATTAGGGTCCTGAAAAAGTTCAGAGCTGTTGGCCAAGCTCAGTGGGGAGCCTGGGCTCTGGGGATTACCTCCCAACTGTGGTCCTAGCTCTTCCCAGCGTCCTGCATGCCTACCCCCAGCACCCAGGGCTTCCTGCCAGGGCTGCTCAGCATGGCCCCAGCATACCTCTGTAGGGAACCTGAAGTATCTTTCATTTCCCTAACGAAGTTATCAGTCTTTTGAGACTGAAATCACAGGCAGGAATGAAGATTGTACCAGCTTTCCCTATAGGCACCTAGCCACCCCCACCTTCTCCTTCTATCCCTGTAGGAGGAAAAGGGTGTTCTCCATGTTCTAGACATTTTCCAGTGTTCTCCCTTATTTCAAAGCACTTTGCTTGCATTTTTTAAAATAATCTTTTATAGGGCTCAGTCGGGAAGGGGATGGGGGCAGAAAGCCAAGTCCCCAGCATTGGGAGTGGCCAGGCCACAGCTGCTACTACCCTAGGCCTACAGCTGTAAGGAAAAGACAGTACTGGCCCTTGGCCAGCACCCTACCCAGCTACAAGGATGGGCTCTGAGTATGGATCACTGGGCCCTAGGCACTTGCCTTTGGGGTTCTTGGAGGATCAGTGTCTGAATAAAATTCCATTTTTGTGGCTTTGGAGCCTCCTTTTGTGACAGAATGGCTTTGCTCTGCTCCCAGCAACATGCCAATGAAGGGTGGGTAGGCCAGGCTACCAACGGGAGATGCAGTTTATTTACACCAGCAGCCATGGGGGGCAGAGGAATACACAGCGTTTACAAAGTTAGCTACCTGTACAGGATGGATTACATATGCAAAAATAAAAATCTCAAGACCACAGGACAGCGTGAGCCCCACCCCCCTCCCCCAATGACCCCAGCATGCGGTAATGCCAGGCGGGTGGCCCCTGGGCATGCGGGGGGGAGTGATGCATGGAAGGAAAAGCCACCGGCCATGGAAATTAGTACAGAACCCCCCCACACACACTCAGACACATGATAGGATACGGGGTGGACGACACCTAGCCGGGGTGGGAAGGATGGGAATTGAAACCCACACAGCCTGCTGTTAAGAGGGAGGGGGTGGGGAGCTCCTAGCCCCTGTTCAACTACATGGTAGGGGGGCACTCTCCCCAGAAGGAAAGGGGTTTGTTCCCTCAGGGTCCCTGCTGGACCAAGCCCATCTCTTACCCAGCCTGGGCAGGGGGCTCTGCCCTGAGGGTGGGCCAAGGAACAATGGGGAAGTTTATGTGGACAAACCAGTTCCCAAACTACTTCCCACTTCTCCCTCCTCCAACCAGAAGAGGGAAAGGGAGAGGCCAGAGGGGAAAGGGTATATTAGGGCCTGAGCTACAGCTGCCTCTCAGAAGGGAGAGTGGCCCACAGCCTTCCTCCCTTCACCTTCAACCTACTCCCAAGACTTCATTTGGAAGCAGGCTGGAGGTTTGCTGAGATCCTCCTTCCCCTCTGGCTTCCCCTTGGAGGAAGGCTATGGAGGGCCAAGAACAGAGGAGCCCAGGCCCCAGGGTTTATTCCAACTCCTGCCAAAATTTGTTTGGCTTTTTAAAAAATAATCACAATTTGTGGGTTAAAAACCAATTTGTACGAGGCATCAGCCACAATGAGAACAACCCCAGGGGAAGAGTGGGGTTCCAGACAGGGCCCTAATCTCTGTTGTTCCCTTTACCCTTTAGGGTCCCCAACCAAAATCAGTCCAACCAGTCCTGGGTACTAGCTACCCAAATGTGGGATGGCTCCTCCTGGGAGAAGGGCCGGAGACATGTCCAACAAGGGCCAGAGAATTTGGCTCAGGGTCGACTCCACCCGTGTCAGTCAGCTCTGCTCCCAGCCCAGACTGCAGTCCTCCAGCTTTGCTCCTGGGAGTGATGGTGCCTGCACAGAGGGGGTGGAGGGTGGTACACCTCTCCAGGCTATGGACCAAGCAGGTGGGCACACTGGCATGACAGTCCCACAGAGGAGTAACAATACCCCTCCCCCTCTACTGACAACTCAGAGCACACAGACCACCTTCTCTTCCGACCCCACTCCTAGCAAAGAGGGAGAGGCACAAGATTAGGATTTTCCTCAGAGCCCCAAACCACAAGTACAGAATAAATAACTTAAAAGCGGCTAAGGAAGGGGAAACAGGGCAGGCTTTGGAGACAGGAGCATTGAGAGGAACTGAAGCTGGTCAAGGTGAAGGGGTGGCAAGCAGCAGTTGGGAACTTGGGGTGCCCCCGTAGGGCAGTGGGGCAGGGTCGGCAGGAGGAACATGGGGCCACCCCAGGAGGGTGAGGCAAGGCCCCTTCCTGGGGCAGGGAATGAGGTAAGAAAACATTTCAAATAAAGCAGCACCGTTCCCTCTCACCTTGGGGCCCCACGCCTCACCAGCCCTGGGTCAGGGAGGAAAGGTAAGGGGGAGTTATTTTGATACACAGCTCCCTCCTGCTACCCTCCTCTTTCCCATTCCTTGAAGCTGTAGAGGCTGGAGGCCCTTTCCTGGCACCCAACAACAAAAGGACAGCTCCTGCTGCCAAGGAGGCCCATGGGGACTGAGGGGAAAGGGCTGCCCCTGTGAGGGGCAGGGAAGGTGGCGGCAGTTCTGGGCGCCTACCTCAGCAGACAGCACACTGTGCCTGCCTACCCCTGGGACTGGGGGCATTTGATAGGATTCTGCACAGATAGGACAGGCCCAACCCTGCCCCTCAGCTCCAAGCACCGGACCCATTCACATTGCTGAGGGCAGCCAGATGAGACCTCCTCCAGGCTCAGCTTCCAACCCACAGCCTTCCGGGGTAGCCACAGTGCCCCTCGGCAGGGCTTAGTCCAGTTCCTGGGGTGGGGGGCAGGCAGTGCCCTGGCACAGTGCCCAGGTCAGGCCCCTGGCCTCGCTGGACATCCAGTAATTCAGAATAAATAGGAAAACCGCCTCCCCACCAAACTTATGTCCAAGGCATAATATGTCCAGGTCTGAGTCCTGCACACTGAGGGGTCTTGCTCCATTGCAGAGGACCCTGACACCCCCCAGGGGTGCATAATTGGATCCTCTGCCTGCCTGGCCCACCAAACTTCCCAAGCCCAAACCCCCAGCAGCTGTCCATCTTCCAGGCTATGCCACCTGGGTGGGGGTTGGGAAAGAGGGCTCTGCTCAGCCAAAGGCTATCCCTTCCACCGAAGTCAGTTGATGTCGTCATAGATGCTGGGCGTCGGGGGTGCCGGTGGCTTTGGCTTCTTCTTCTTGTTGGAGCCCAGGCCGGAGGCAGTCCCTACCAGGCTCAGGTGGGATTTCTTTTTCTTGGTTTTCCGTGACTCCGAGCTGTTGGTACCTGCATAGAAAGAGCCAGGTGGGATGAGAGCAGGGTTGTGGCAGGAGATGGTGTTCTGTGCCTTTGGGCAGAGAGCTCCTGGGGCCTAATGGTGTCACATACCTAGACCCCATCCCTGATTTTCACTCGTCTTGGAGGAGCCTGAATCAGAGGGTGAGAGATCGGAAGAGCCGTCCCACTGAAGCCGGCTGATCAGGGCCTGGCTGTCAGTCATGTCAAAGCTGTCATTATCCAGGGAGCTCTCAACCTCCGGAAGGACGCTGGAAGGGGAGGGGCCAAAGAAGGGTTTTAGGGATACCCTACCAACCACAACCCACCACCTATCCTGTAGGGTCACTCACGCTGAGGGCCCGAGGAAATAAATCCGCACAGTTCGCCTCTGCTCATCTGTGTGCTGGGGGCAGCGCAGGGACCTGGTGAGGAGAAAATTATCAAACCCTGACAAGGCAGGGAAGGATCTGTGGAACTCAGGAAAAGCCCCACCCCTTAACCAAAGCAGGTGGGTGGGATGGGCAAAGACAGGGAAGAGATGAATGGAAGGCACCCAAACTGCAGCCTAAGCCTGGCCATTACAGGAAGGCAAGCAGGAGCCTCCACTGCCTAGAGTTAGGTGCAGGAGGGCCCCTTAGTTTCCCTTCTAGGTTCTGTGCTCACCTTGTGCACATCTTCTTGGTGTGTTCAGAAATCACCCCACATTGCTGGAAGAAGAATACAAGCTGAAAGGAGGGATAGAAGAGAACCTACTCTAGACACTACACATTCCCTTCTGTGTAAATGCTAGACTGCATAAGCAGAAATGGCCCCAAGGTGTCTGGAGCAGATGGTCCCAAGCCACTATGGGCCAGGAAACCTACTTCTAGAGAGAAAACTGCATGTCCCTAAGTGCTATGTCACCAGCATCCACTCCCAGAGGCCTCTGGTTTTCCGGTCCCTCACCGTGGTGAGCAGGCTACGCAACTCCTCTGGCCCCAGGGTCTCATAGCTGATCCCAGTTGAGTTGTTATACTACAGGAGAACAAGAGGAAGAGATTAGGGAAGGGGAAGACAAAAGAGGGAGTGCAATAGTTGATGGAGAATCAATCCCTCCCATGCCTAAGCATGAGGCTTTAGGACTATGCAATAATTTTTCAAGTAATTCCTTTTTTTTTTTTTTTGAGACAGTGTCTCACTCAGTCACCCTGGGGTTGAGTGTCAGGGCATCACAGCTCACAGCAACCTCAAACTCTTGGGCTCAATGATCCTCTTCTTCCCTCAGTGTCCTGAGTAGTTGGGACCATAGGCACCCACTACAACACCCAGCTAGTTTTTCTATTTTTAGTAGAGACAAGGTCTCACTTTGCTCAAATTGGTCTTAAACTCCTGAGCTCAGGCTACCCACCTTCCACGGCCTCCCAGAATGCCAGGAGCCACCTCTCCCGGCCCTAAGTAATTCCACCTGCATGTGGATGAGGGGGTGGGACCCAGAAAGAACGTAAATATACAAGACCCAAACAATTTCTCTAAGGCTTCTGGCTGTCAGCATTTTGATCCCCACTTCACTAAAACCCAACCAATTCACAACAATATAATGAGAGGGAACATAAAAGGGGCAACCTATACTCACCTTAAAAGGATCCGAATTGCTAAGTTCCCCTGAAGAAGAAAAAAGAAGGGGAAGGGTGTTTGATGCAGAGGTACAGACAGAGAACCCTGAAAATAACCAGAGAGGAAGTGGGGGTGACAGAAGGATCACAGGCCCTCCCTCAATACCCCTATACCCAGGCCCCCACCTCCACCCCACAGCAATGAGTTCCAGAAAACACAGCTAGAATCATTCCCATTGTTCCAGCTCCACTTACCATTTTTGTGTTTTAAAGACTTGGATCTTCGAGGGGAATTAGGGTTCTGGAATGGGAGATACCATAGCTTTGGGGAAAGGGTAACGATAAGGGGGAGCCGAGAACCCAGGGAAGGAAAAAAGATTTGACAAAGAAACATCCTCAAATTCCTACTCTTCCCACCCAGTAAGAGGCCTGTTTACTCATATTCCCTCCCCCACTCCACCAAAGCCTCTGCTGCCCCATGCCCACCATAGATACCTTTGTCCCCAAACCCAGAGAAGCCCCCAGTGACTTCAGATTTGAGTCAAGACACCCAAGGACTCCCCTCCCAAAAGGGAGGGTTAACTGTCCTTTGCCCAAATTTCCCCCATGCTTGCCCGGCTCTCACCTTGTCTGATTTTCTCTTCTTGGCTGTTGGGAACAAAAGGATAAAGAGGATTACTTTAAGTTCTCAAAGTAAAGGCATCAAAAACAAGTACAAAACTACACTTTGCCCCCACTGTTCAAGACAACAGCTTGTGACCACTGTATACCCAATTCCTACTTGCCCACCTCATCCCAAAGTCCCCCAAGTTTCCCCAGATCCCCAAATACCTTTCTTCTCTGAGCCATAGGACCAGTCATTGTCATTGATGTCATCATTATCTTCTTGGTCACTCTCAGACTTGTTCATGTTGTTGCTATTGGCAATCCTGCCAAAGGTAGGAAAGAAAAAGGGTCAAGGTTGCCACCCTGTGTCCCTACAACATCCAGGGTATATAGAGTATCTGGGAACAAGTATAATCCTCTGTCCCCTACTAGTGCCCCCGAGGGACTACACCACGGTGCAGGCTGCAGAAGATGAGCAGCTCTGGTTCCAGCCAGGGAAAAGGCCCTCACCGGCGGTTGGCAATTCGGCTGCTGTTCCGACCCATTCCCAGGCACTTCTCCAGGTGGGGAGCAAAGCGGGAGGCGGCAATGCTGCGGCTGCAATTGGGGCAAACACACTCCTTGCTCTTCCACTGGTTGAAAACCTGTCCAAAGATGTCCAACCCTGGCTGGTCCACGATCTCTGGGGACAGGAGAGGCGTGGCGATCAGGGCAGGCAGGGAACCCTCCTCTCTTGTTCCCGTGGCTTCTTCAACCCCCCTGCCCAGGCTCACAGGAGCTCCAGGATCTATATCTAGTGCAGTTTCCAGAGAAGGAAACTCGAAGCACTCCCAGGGCAGGGTTAGACTGCTCTCCTTCAATCCTGAAGCTCACCAAAATCCTTCATGCTATCAGGGTCTGTGTCGTCCAGGAAGAAGTAGCCACACTTGACAGCCCGGTGTACCTCAAAGCAGAATCCCAAACAAGAATCCTCGACCAGGTCTGCGTATATCTCCTGAGCGATGGCCTGGGCCCCAGGGGAGAACATCCATGGTCACAAGAGTCACAGCCCCCTGGTCTGATAGCAACTTTCACCAACTAAATCTCCTGCCAACTGGCCCCAGCCAAGAATCATGCTTTCTTTTCCATTTTCCCCATCTTGACTTTGTGTTCTTTCTTCTTCCTGGATCCATGGGCCTTTTCAGCTGGCTATTCCCTTTAAGGAACAAGGCTGACTACCCAAATTCCTCTTTGGTGTGGATGCCAGATATAGCGCCGTACAGACATCAAGAGAAAGAACTAGAGGCACACGTGGGGGAGCCCTCACCTCTAGTTTGCTGTTATCCAGGCCAGACAAAGACATTTCCTCCATTTTCATTTGTAAACTCTTGTGGAGACGGCGCTCTGACTGCTCATAGCACAGCGGGCGGCAACTCGGCTGTACACATTTGGGGGGGGGGTGTGTTGGTGTGAGTCCAAGGCACCTCTGAATACTGCCCTCACCCCTGCCCACCTCGCTGCCCAGTTATCCTGGCATCAAGGTATCTCCCTCCTCAAGGCCCAGGCTCACTAAGTCTGGATGGTCCTTCAAGGCCTGAAACCTAAAGGTGGTCTAGTCCTTCCTAGGCCTAATCTCAGGCCCTGGACTCCACTGCCAATCAGAGTCTGGGACTATAGGAGGCAGCAGCTCACCCCAGGTCCCTAAAACTCAAACCCCTCTTTGATACCCATGGTGCAATGCAGCAGGGGGAGGAGAAGGAACTCTAAGGCCTCAAAGCAAACCCACAGGGTGTGGCAAAGAACTGCACAGACTCCTAAATACAACCCCCCTTCCCTAAAGGCTCTCCTCAGAGTCACCTCTGCTTTCAGCTAGGATGTCCACTTGGGGGGGTACTGCTACCAGAAGTACGAATGGCCCTAGGACCCTACAACCTTCACCCTACTCTGCTTTCCTTTGAAATAAGCATGTCACTCCACGAGGGGAGCAGAGCCCGCAGAAGCCGTAGGGCTAAGGGGCATTTCTAAGCCACCAGGAACAAGAGAGGGGTAGAGCCCGTTGGGATAGTATGGCAGAAGTGGGCACTTCCCTTACCTGTTTTTGCTTTAGATAACCACCCTCCCTCCCTCCCTCAGGACAAGCCGGAAGTCTCTCCAAGAGCCCCAAAGTCCAGGAACCCCCAGCAAAGGATTCAGAAACAGCACCCACAGTCCAGGGCCCCTCTGAATGGTGGGTACGAGTTTAAGGAGCTGCCGGCCTAGAGTGGGGTGGGGACTGACAAATGAGCCAGGGGCACTGAGAAGGGTAGGAGGCCGGGCCTCGGCTCTTCCCCCGTCCCTGCGGCACTGCTGCTGCATCATACCGACTGGGGGGAGGAGAGCAGAGCCGCTGGAGGCCGGCGCCGGTCCGGGACAGACCGACCCCCAGAAAGTGGGCAGAGTGGGACGCGTCCCGGCCCCTCTCCTTCCTCGCCCGCCAAGAGCCCCGGCCGGCCGGGGAGAGGAGTCCGGGAGGGTGTCTCTATTGTCCCGGGGGCTAGGGCCTGGCTCCCTAACAAAGGCCCCGCGCCCCCTCCCCGGCCGGCCCTGCCCCGCCCAAGGGGGACCCAGACGGGGAAGAGCAGGGGGCCCCGGTCGGGCCGGGAAGCTGGGGGAAGCCGGGCGTTTCCGCGTCGGCCGGGGGGGAGGGGAAGGGGCGCTGACCCAGACCTGGGGGGAGGGGGCCCAAGCCCCGCCTCGGGCCCCGCCCCCCGCCCCCC